TCCTCATTTTGTCTCTCATAGTTGAGGTATACCTATGATGAAAATTACAGGCCTCTCTCATCTTTTTAAGTGGGAGAACTTGCACAATTGGTGGCTGACTAAATACTTTTTTGCCCCACTGTATATTTGTTGTGATGAAGGTTGAAAGTCACTTCTTTATATATTTATTATATTCTTTTCTTTTTCTTCTCTTTCCTTTCTTTTTCCTTTCAGTTTTTCCTCTTTCTATTTTCTTTTCTCTCTCTAAGTTTAGTTTGTACTGTATTAGATTTTGCTATAATAATCAAGATTCATACATATGGACGATCTCCAGCCCCCCCAAAATGTGCCACTGAAATTCAGTCTGCTCCTGGGTTGCTGGGGCCATAGGTTGGCTTCTGTTTTCAAGTGTAGTTGGACTTGCACAAGGCCTTCTACTTGAAAGCCATGTTCTTTGGTCCCCTTTTAAAGATTCACACGTTGCTTGAGTCTGCTGTTTCTCTGGACACAGTTACACATGACTTCATCCTCACAATGAGTTGCTATGGGAAACCTTGTAAGATGTTGCCAGTGATACTTTTGTGGAGGCTTTACATTTTCTTAGCTGAATGCTTTGGTAGGCAAATAGGATTTCACAGATTGGCTTCTTCCAATTTGGTATTGGATCATAGTTTATTGCAAAATTTATTTTACCACTTCGTTTATTCTTTCCTTAAGTCATTTCCTCTTGGATGATATAAAGACACAGTTTTGTGTTTTATTCCATTGTGATGGATGTGCTGTTCTATTTCAAACGAAGTAAGCAGTATCCCATTTCTTTAGGTAAACTCTTCTCTGGAAAAAATAGCAGCCATGAATTGAATATTTCATCTATAGTTATTCTGTCAGAAAATGAATCTTCAGGCTATAGCACCATTATCAACAGATTTTTTTTCCAGGTTGATTATTCAAACCCCTTTATTTCCTAAAGCAAAATTATCACACGGATCTTTAGGAATCTCTATTGGAATTAATAATAATAATAATAATTTATTAAACTTGAATGGGGCATTCATCACTCAATTCCAGATTGGTTCCTCAGTGTGCTGCTTCATACCTTGGTACGCCATTAGCAGTTTTATCAGGAATATCATGTGAATAGACTCATGCCCATATGACCTTTGTGGGTCAAACTAGCTATTATTGCTTACAACATGGCTTACTAAGCAATCTGTCCTCAATATTTAGTCATTGTAAATGGATGACTCAGCTGGCACTTGTAGATATGATCATAACATTTCTGGTATTTGAACACTCCATTACCATTTTTTGGTGATAATATGCTTTGGGTCAAAAGTATATCATCAGTCTTTAAAGCTGCTGTTCATTCCGAAGGTGCAGTCACTCTTTTGAGTGGTTAAAGCTATTTGTGCAATTATAATTTCATCCATATTTCCACATTGTCTTTCAAAATGGGAGATAACAGCTGAGATAGATTGTCTGCTATAATAGTGTAATTATCTGGAAAGTATTCAGATTGGAGCAAATATTTTATAAGTTATAAATAAAGTTATAAATGAGAATTTATATTCTTATTTAATTCAGGATCATAATCATATATATTAGCAAAAGTTTTATTTTTTCTGAATCCTTTCTCTCTTTCTACTTCTTCCTCCTTCTCCCTTGTTCTTCATATTTGGCTCCACTTCTACTATTTTCTCACTGGGCCAAACTTCTAATTCAAAACATATTCATGCTCTGGGATACAACTCTGGGTAGATGGACTGTCAATTCAAATTCAGTGCATTCATATTAATTTAATTTTCCAAATATACATTGTAGTGAAAACAGCATTATTTCACTTGTGAACTTCAGTGTTTCCAGAAATACAACAGATCTTTAGAAAAAGGAACAGAAGAGGTAACCAGGATGGTATAACTGAAAAGCAGAGCTATTATGGATGTAGCAGACTTAAAGATGTTTCCTCCTGTCCCCAGAATGCCTCATACAGCACAGACCTGTGCTTCAGCAGTGTTCCCACAACCGCTCCTCTGCTAGTCCTTATCACCTCTGTATCAATCATACAGTTGCACCCTTGTTTTAATTGTTATATGCTATCTTGTAATGATTTATTCAAAAAAGTGAGGTCAAAATATATACACTGAATCTGCTAATTGGACTACCATATTATTTATCATGTTTCTTGAAGAAAAAGAGACCGTTTCTTAAATTTTTGGTTTCAGTTTACTTTTGGTTATTGCGTACTGATTTCTAAAACCCCTAGAGGATTTCTTTTGCTAAATGTTGAGTTTCACATCATGTCTGTTTTAACCTGCATTTAGGGGGCATTCTAAAGTCAGAGATCAGAAAATGTTTAAGCTGTAAAACGCCTGGCTATATTAAGAATTTGTATTGGGTTGAGACTTCCTGACAAAAGTCAAAAATGTTTTCCCATTTCTTTGAGTCATGAGGATATATGAGTTATGAGTGAGTTGAAAGATATTAAGTTCTATATTAGAAAACTGAGTTTGACAGTTTGAAAAGGTTATGCAAGACTTTAATAAATCACAGGTTGATTCTTTCGGTGTATGGACCTCAGCCGTTGGTACCATCATGAGAGTCACCGATGCTGGGTCTTCCCTAATCACTATAAATCTCCAGCTTTAGGATTTTTCAACATGTGCTTCCCGTATACTTTTTCAACCCTTATTTCACAATGTTAAAGATTTCACACTTTTTAATAAACAAAAGTGGTGACTTAGGTGGCCGTATGTATTGTTTGTATAGGCCATGACCATCCTGGTTCTGAAACACAAAGCCTTAGAAAATTCTAAAATCTTACTACGAGCATCTTGGTCTAACTATGTGATTTCTCAGCCCTGAATTAAGTTTCCCTTCTGTACTTCTGGCAGATAGGCTTTTATTCATTCCAGAAGCCAATTTGACTAACTTAATAGGAAAAGCTAAATGGGTTTTGCTGGCTACCCTATCAGATTAGCATCTGGAAGTGTCCTGCTTTCTCTAGTAGCACAGCAAGAGGTGTGTGTGAACAAAGTTTGGAGGGTTAGGGACAACATTTAGGGCTAATGATCTAAAGTGGGCAGGTTCATAATACACATATATTACACATATGGATGTGGCTAGCTTCCACACCCTACCCCACCCTGTCCTGGCTCTTGAATTGGATTTGGGGATTTTCTCCAAGTGTGTTAGAACTCGGTCAGCATATTCAGCTTCATTGTTTATGGCTTCTCCACTTCATAATGATGGGAAATGGGTGCACTGATTCATAGCAATTGTGGAGTTTTGAAAAAGATGTGGGTGTGGGGAATAAAAATGTGCAGCAAATATATAGAAAATGGTCATGCAGGAGGAATATAACGTGCGCAGAAACTGACACTGTGTGTCAGAGTGTAACTGACAGAGCTTCTAATATTTGGTCTGCCTGTCAGTCACAGCCCTTGGTTCTACCTTGTTCTTGGCTTGGGCACAACGACACACTCCTGCCTAGCCTTTACACTTTGTGGACCTGTTGCCTCAGCCTGACTAAGACCCCCTCCTTTAATATCCCTTTGATATTCAGGGCCACAGCAATTTAATGTCGCTTTAGAAATTACAGTCAGTGTGGATCAATTTGTGCGTGGAGGGGCCTAACTCAGGCTCAGCAGTTTATTTGAATACTTTCTGGAAATCTTTTTCCTTCAAATGTAGTAATTTCCAGCTGAGATGGTGGCACACATTGCTTCACTCATAATATGCAGTAAGTCGGTTGTGCTGAATTTGGGGTGCCCCTCTCCCCTATTTGTTTGAAAGGGGGGCTGTGTTTCTACCCCAGAGGCCTGTCCTGATGCACCACAGGTCTTAGATTTAGGAGCTTAACCCTGAAATTACTCTCTTCTTTTCTTTTTACTTGTCACATTTCTTCTCAGATTCCTGTATTCCCAAGGGGCTTTCCCTCCTCTTAATTTGCTTTTCTTGTTTTAACCTTCTTCCTCTTTTCTCAAGCAGGTTTGGCAATTATGTTGAGTCTCTAATAACTGTGTCTTGTCTTTGTAACTGTATATGAAATGTGGTTCATTTTGTTAATCGTTTTATTTTAATAGCAATGGATGTGTCTGGTTTTTTTAAAATTTGGTTTCCAAGTGAGATGAGCTTGCTTTTTCTAAAAACAAAATAAAAACCAACCACAACCCTTGCCCAAGACTGCTAATTCCATGTTTTGCTCTATTTTTAATCCTTACTTTCTCCTCTCCCCCCTTTTGCTTTGTTCCTTCTCCTCTCTCTCTCTCTCTCTCTCTCCCCTTCCTTCCTTCCTTCCTTCCTTCCTTCCTTCCTTCCTTCCTTCCTTCCTTCCTTCCTTCCTTCCTTCCTTCCTTCCTGTCTGTTGCCCATTCTGCCCATTCTGTACTTCATGGGCCCTCAGGTTGCGTGCCAAAGTGCGGAGAGCCAGGAACAGGTTGAGACCATTCTGTCTGAAAATGATGCTCTGAGAACCAACCTTGCAGCATTAGAACAGGTACCAGGTTCGGTTTTGTGAGCCAAGTGGTCAGGAGGTAGAGGGTGGTGGTGGTGGTGGTGGTGAAGTTGAAGGCTGTAGCTATTCATTTTTACAAGGGGTATGTGTATTATATTTACAACATAAGTGAGGCCAAAGGACCAGCAACAGTAGGGTGTGAAGAATTCCTACTTTATTTATTGCATTTATATTCCTCCCTTCATCCAGTACTCTGTGTGTGTGCGTGTGTGTGCATTTTCAGCGTTTCCTATCAAGTAGGATAGGGAAAGAATAGACCAGTTCCAAACCACCTTCTTAGATTCATGGATGACTGGGAATTTGAACATAAGCATCTCCAGTCCAGTACTTCAACTGCTATACCACACTGACTCCAGTTCAAGGAGCATATTCATCTCACTTCATCAGTGCGCAGCAACAGAGCCCTTCCATTAGCCAGGATGAGCAGCCATTTAGACCCAGGGTCATGCACCTTTTTTGGAGTGGCTGAGAGTTGCAGTGAAAGGGGCAGTAATGCAAAGAAGACAGGACTGTGTCATAGACAGATTTGGGACCAATATATATATATTTTTCCTAGGCAATGGGATAGTGTTGTTAAGCCTACACTATCCCATTGGGCTTGTGCTACAGTTTTTGCTTATTTCCTGCCTTTAAACAACAGGAGATTGTGACACTTATTTTTGGCACTGATGGTCAGGAGGATCTAGAGCACTCTGCTTGCCTGCCTTTGTGGTATGGAAGCCCTGCTCAGTACCATTTCCTCATGCTCTTGGCTTGTCCAGGATAAGAAGCACCAAAGTGCTTGAAGGGAGGCCTGTGTCAAAGCCTGTTGTGTTGTTCCCACTCTGAAAAGGTCGATGACACCTTAGGAGAAAGTGGCTGAGATTACATAATAATTCTGTGTGTGTGTGTGTGTGTGTGTGTGTGTGTGTGTATCCTTGGAAATCAGGAGTTATGATGAAGAGGCCGATGCAAGTATCACAGATACTAGGCTTGTTATTCATGACAGGACGAGATTCCTTCTTCCTAGCTTAAGACATGGACAGGAGACTGTGCCAGCAATCCTATGCCGTATGAAAATGTGCCATTACTGGCCTACTACCTTATGCCTGACACTTCCTCCAGCACTTTGATATAGGTCAGCCTTCCAAAACTCTAGATGTAGGGCATGCTAGTTGGAAGTTATGGGAGTTATAGTCCTGCCACATCTGGAAGGCACTAGATTGGAGAAGGCTGGTTTAGGGGATTAGGGAGAAAAGGTCAGAATGTTGTGTGATGTCATTGCACAAATGGAAGCAACTTGTGTTTAAACATCTTTTGGATAAAAATATCATTTTTAAGAAAAATGGGCATAAAACCCTTGGATTCTGTGATATTGCAAGAGTTACAGTATATTTCATGCTTAAAGTGCTACAAACATCTTTATGAGTTCTTGCTTTTCAGTAGCCCAAAAACTCAGAGCCATTTCTGACTAGCCAAGCTTTATTTTTAAAGGTAATTTGTAAATGATAATATAATTATAAAATATATAATTTACTTTTTTAAAATGAAACCTGGTTGGTCAGAAATCACTCTGTATTTCTGAATATTTTTGTACCTAATCCGTCTGTGAGGAGCAGATAAAAATGTGCTGGTGCTAAGAATTCCGATTCAGCTACAAAACAGCACAAATGAAATAGATTCCATAGTTCCACATTCTGGACTTAGTACAAGATGAGACAAGAAAAAATAAAAGAAAAATCATGCTAGTTTGTACCATCAAAAATATTTTAAAATGTATCTGTGCCAAAAACACTTTTCCTGTGGGTTTTCATAAAGCTAAAGCTAATGAGACTTGATACAGAAATAACAATCCTGTCCAAGATTAGGAGACTAGAAGTCAATGGGAAAGTCATGCGGTTCTCCCACTTTCTCCCTTTCCTTGGTTGTTCTGTTGCTCAGAAATGTGTGTGCGCCTATCATAATTATCATATGATTAATAATCATAATCCCTATTGTCACTGGAATTTGAAGCTGGTTTGAAAACTCCAATTAAGTGTGAAGTCTGATGATTTTCTGCAGTGGGTAACGTCAGAGGCATCACTCCTATTTACACATACCGTGAATAAAAAAAATTCCTTGTGAAACCAAAAGATGAAGAAAATACAGGAGAGCTCAGTCTCTCATATGGCACATGGAAATGTGCTTGGGTATTAAGAAGGGGAAGATCTATGATTTGTAGCTCTCTTTTTAAGGAAAAAATCCCACAGTGTTGCCAGGTGTGCCTTTTGGAGAGTAGGTCGCGGTGTCATGTGATTTTCTGAAAGGGCTATTAACTTTTACCTTCCCCTCTTGTCCTGCTGCATTCTTGCCTTCGTAGATCCAGACGTCTAAAACTCAGGAGATGAATCTGATGCGAGAACAGGTGGCAGCATTGGGAGAGGAGCTCCAGCAGCGTCAGAGTGAGAAGGAGGCATTGGCTGCCCAGCGGGATGAGCTCAACACGCAGCTGCAGGTGGGCCAAGGCATCAGATCCACCCAGGCCCTCATACTGCTGCTTACAAGGCCCAGCCAGCTATTTGCATATTCTGTATTTCCTTCCTCCTATCGCCCTTGGGCACAGCATGCGAAATGCCCCATTCTGAACCTTTACAGCACAGATAGATAGAAGGAGCAAGAAGATAAATATTTATGGCACGAGAGGTCTGTTGCTGCCTCTCAGGCCCTTTTGCCGATGTCTTCATTTTTTATACTCCTTCTCTCTCCTTCTGATTGTTTGATCTCCTTACTGATCTCTTCCTCCTACTCTTGCTGCCCTTCTAACTGCTACCTAAATTCCCGGCCCCATTTTGGTGGATTAGCAAAGTTCTTCCCAACTCCACACCTATTTTTTTTTCAAATTAGCGGTATTTTAATCCTGAACTCTGTTTTAAATTAGTCAGTGTGAAAGGAGGCTGGGTGGTTTACCCTACAGTTTCCCAAGCTGAAAAGGCTGATCCTTTTCCACTCTCACTTTCAAGGGCTTAGCAGAGGTATAGAATTTAAATAGGTCAGGTGCTCAAAGTGCTTCATGTAGCTGATTACAATAATCCTTTCGATATTCGTATAAGGTGGGCCAAGGCTGTTGTGTGATTGTTTTTCTCTGTTTAAATGTTATTGGTGTCATTATCATCTGTCAGAGGCAGTGGAGAGTCTCTGACCAAACTGTGGTGCAGATAAACAAAGGATGCGGTGGGAGAAAGAGTTGTCTTAGAAGATAGGATTTTTCGTTATCTTCACCTTCTGTCGTAGGAGTCACTCCGGGGCAATACTCGTCTTCTGGAGCAGGTACAAGAACTCGGACAGGAAAGGGAGAGATTGTTACAAGAGCTTGATGAAATGCGGAAGGTAAGCTAGTGTGCATTGTGGCTCATTCAGACAGAGACTCAACCATGGCTTGGCACTTGTATGTGAGCAGCAGAACGCTAGACTATGGCCTGCTTCCTCCTCCCTTTCTGCACTGAGCTTTCTAAACTGATTTTGTTTGTCAGTGAAACAGTTTGCTGTTGACTCTGAAGATGGCACACTACCATTTGGCAAAACTGTAGTTTTCCCATAAATCAGGATCTCAAGTAACAGTTTGAGATTCTACTCTGAATTAACTACGATTCAGTATTAAGTTTATGAGTAGAATCTCATAAAATTTGGGGCAAAACAGAAGGGAATAGAGGAAAGTAAAGGACAAAGAGGAATGGGATAACATAGCCACATGGGAGTAAGAATAGTAGCTGTAGGAACATTGTAAGATGTTGAAATGGCATCTGCTGGCTAAGGAAGCCTTTCCATTTTTGCCTGATTTCCTGAGTTTCTCCAGAAAGAGCCCACAGACTTCTGACATTTCTCTCTGCAATTTTGAAGACTAGAAATGAATGCCTTGTGTTTTTAAAGAAGCCAAGGATTTGGGATTCAAAATGCAAACTTTCTAATTAGGCAAATATCACCTATGCTTCTCAAGGTAAACATCACCTCCCTTGCCAACCTTTAATGTAAAATCTAGGACGTCTCATTTGTCTGCACACCACCTCTATGAGGTTGGTCTTCATAAGGTAAGCTAAAGTATTCTTGGTTTTATACTCAGGACCATAGGGGGATGGGGAATTTTATGTCTGAATCCTTATCGCCAGGACTTCCCTATTGTGTTGGCAGTGGGACGATAGTGCTGAGCTGTGTGTCTGCTTTCCAGACAGCGGAGAAACGCAAGGCCATGCTGGATGAGATGGCCATTGAGACCCAACAAGAAAAGGGGCGCCACAAGGAAGAGCTTGGTAACCTCCGTCTGCAGCATGAGAAAGAGGTGCTGGCTGTGAGGGCACGCTATGAGCGGGAGCTGCGGGAGCTGCACGAGCACAAGAAACGGCAAGAGGATGAGCTGCGTGGCCAGCTCAAGGAGGAGAAGGTATGAGTCAAGGAATTTGTGATGGAATGGTTTGGTGAAGGCCGCGCTCGGGGAGATAAGCATTTCCTTAGCCGCCAGCAGGAGCGTGGGAAAGTTAAGAAGATGAGACTGGCATCACCCTAAGAAATTCGCAGTGCTTGCTTGCTGGCTTGAGAAGTTTAGATTCGGTCTGGCAGGATTCTGTCTTGTGGCTGGAAGCTAATAAAAGCTGTCGAACTAGATCTGTACTGTCTTGTGGAGTTCTTTGGGCTGAACCTAACATCAATCCCGCCAGACTCAATCTAAACTTCTCAAGCCAGCAAGCAAGCGCCGCGAATTCCTTAGGGTGGTGCCAGTCTCATCTTCTTAACCTTCCCACGCTCCTGCTGGGG